CTTACCGCCTCCGTGACAGTTTGTGCCCGCCCCGCGGCGTCACTCGAGTTGGTGTGAATTCCGAATGATTAGGCGTAGTTCATGCCTCAGGCAGCATGGTCCATCATGCTAAAGCTGCTCGAGAGGAACGTGAGACACGTGTAAGTTTGCTGTGCTTTGGTTGATCATGCCGCCTTCGTGACGGCTTGTGCTTGCCTGACAAACGGCCTCACAAGAGTTTGTTGGATTTTCCGACGGGGTCGGCGTTTCTGCCGTCTGCGTATCAACTAGATCAACTAGCTTGCCTTGCGCAAGAACCTGCTCTGCGTAGTTCACAAGACGCGCCTTTCCACCCGGCTCGTGCTCTAAAGGGGATGATCACGTGCTGCAGCATCACCAGTCCTGAACTCCTTTTTGGAAAGTTTCAAGCATGCCTGGCCGCAGACCTACACTTTCAGCGTGTGGGCGACCTCGCGTGCCTGCAACCTAGATCTGCTTTATGAGCCGCGGCGGTCACGCAGATGCGAATCTGATGAAGGTAGGCAACTCCCCGAGCACGTCCACTCTGACAGTGGTTGCTGCAGAGGCTCCCGCGAAGGCGCTAAACTTACAGAGCTCTTGAAAGTCTTTCTTGTTGGAAAGAGAAGCTATAGGTCATCAACCTGGTGATCACGGCCATGTTGGCAGCTGCCCCAAGTCGCAACGACAGGCTTTCCAGCACATCAAAGGCTCCATCTTGTCAGCGGAGGCCAGTGGCATCACACTGTCCTGGGACGGCGTGCCGAGCAACCTCAACGGAGGGGTGCCGATTCCGCGCTCCCGTGCGACTCGCTGACCTTGTGGCCACCACGCCGGTGAAAGTGTACAAATCTCTGCTGCGTAGCCACGAAGGTCTCCAGAAAGATGTAGCTTCCGCTTCCACATATTACCCCATTGCGTTGACTTACCGCCGCTACTTCTTCTCTTGGACTGGCATTGGACCCTGCCGACTAAGTGACTAAGTGTTTATATTCAAGTCAGCACCCGTGCGCCCAAGCGCCGCCAGTGGCACCATGTACGTCTCCAAGCCGCTGGCCTCGCCCTTGTGGAGGCGTTTCGCCACCCGCTGCCCTGTCCCGCCAGCCTTCCAGCAACCATGGCCTGCGCCCACCGCTGCACGGAGCAGGACCGGCTACAAATACAAGGGCTTTTAGATAAGCTGCCGCGGAGCATTCCGTACTCGTGTTCTGGGATGCTGATTACAGGGAACTGCCTGCAAGACAAAGCGAAAAGGATCAACCCTACGACATGTTAAACAGGCCCTAAAACCCCTATCTATCCCTGTCTATCTATCAATCTATCTATCTATCCCGCTATCAATATCTATGATTTATGATTTTCCGCCTGCACGCATGCATGTGTGTCTGTGTGTACGTGCGTGTACAGGTGTGTGTGTGTATATATATATATATATATATGTTTAGGGTCGTGGATCGAGCGCATGCAACAGCGCATTGCCGCAGGCCCCTAGAAGTGCCAAGGCACACCTGAGCCATTGTGAAGTCGCCCCGGTGGCATCGCCGCGCGCGTGCTAAGCGCTCGCTTGACCGTCTCCGAGTCCACAGCGCACGAGCGCAGGGACGCCCACCTCCGCTGCAGTCGCTGCTGCGACTTGCAGCACACCACTCTAGACCACGATACCGCGAACT